TTCCTGAATCCCTCTAGGGTATGTAGCCTGCCCACTCTTATTACTTTCATCAACCTGTTTTTCCAAGAAACCGCTTTCAGCCAGAAAAGCCTCCTCCATAGCCATCTGAAAGTCTCCCGGTTTACTCTTGTACAAATGAGTCTGCCCCTGAAACCTGAAATGATAACTACAAATTAAAGCAAATCTTCTCCAAATAAGCTTACATACCTGTCCATATAATCAAATTTCCAATAAGCTTACAAACCTGTCCATATATTCTGTAAAAGGAAATATCATCCCCTGCTTTACCCACGCATAATCCTGCAAATACCCGCATTAACCAATACTAATCAAATATACATAGGGGAAATAACAACTCGAAAGAATTGTCATACCCTTTCGTTTCCATTTGCAGAGTACCCGAAAAACATGACACAAATTGTACCAGGAATGCACGAATCAAGAACCAATTCGGGCGCCTGCTGCATTGGATCAATCACCACTGCAGGCCAAGCTGGAAACTTCTTCCCCGACTTTGCCCAAACAATATCACCCAAACTAAACTCTTCAGGAAAGAAATAGTCTTTCCTTTTTTGAACATTCTGCTTCACAATTTTCCTATCTTCATTCACAACTATCTCCCGGTACCAGTTCCTTGGCCTCCCCTCCTCAAAATAACCCAAATGAGCTCCAAACTTCTCCTCATGAATTGAAGTCAAAGTGCTACTCGAGGTCAAATGCTTCTTCGCACTCAAATTCCTACACGCCCGATAGCACTCCTCCTCCCTCGACAAAGTTTCCAAATGCTGATCTCTGTAGCTAAAATCTCTACCGCAGTCCTTCACCTTAACATCAACCACCTCGGTTTCAGCTTCCAATTCGCTGTCCAAACCTTTGGGCTTCGGTTTATCCTTCTTCCAGGGATCAATCAGGACCGAATCATTGAACTTCGAAGGCAGCACCTGAGCTCGCCCTCTCGAAGTCCTCACAACCGGAGGCCTCGCCGGCGGCGGCGCAGAGGTGTCCTGCGGCGGAGGCATAGGAGGAGGAGGCGACGTGACCTCAGTGCTGACGGCTAACCCTAAATCAAAAAAATTGCGCCGGAATTCAAGGGGGAGGTAAGGGATTGAGGCGGCGGTGAAGTTACCGAGGGCTTCGAAGGGGAAGAAGTCCTTCTGCTTGCGGCGCTTATGGCGTATTTGGACGCCTGCGAATTCGTCGTCGCCGGTGATGTCGTCTTCGGAGGCGAAGGAGGCCGAGGCCTGAGCGCTGCAGCGCTTGAGAGTCGGCATTTGAGCTCGGAGATTGCGCTTGATTATCATTTTGGTAGGAACCCTAGGTTTTAGATCTCAACATAGAAATCGAATTTGGGGGAAGACAAGCCCTAATTTTGAGCAGAGAGAGATCTATCCCTAAAGTCCAACCGCTCCCTCGTTCTCTCTCTAGCTGGAGAGAGAGAGAGAGAGAGAGAGAGGGGATTGCTTTACTTTTTAATTTTAATTTCGGTTTTGTTTTTCGTTTCGCTCCCTAAAATTGGAACTAGAATGGTTTCGTGTGAAATTGGGCTGAGAACTGAGAAGGCTATCCATGGGTTAAGTTCTACCGTGCACGAGTTCGGAGTTAGGATTTTGGGTGGGTTACGGTGCTTCGCGTACGCGGTGATTGGATCCCACCATCACCATGAATCAATCTCTTGATTTCTATTTGCTCCTTTTTTTTTTCTTTTTCCCCCCCATTTTTTTGATGGCGGGAAACGAAAATGAGGATTTAGATTGAGCGGGGAGAGAGCTGCCATGGTGAAAAGTTCTCGTTGAGGTTTTGATGCTGGTTCGTGTTTCAAATTTTCGAGTCCTGGCTCGCACTCGTTTGGGTTAACTCGGAAGGATAAAGTTGAATCCTAACTCGAGTTTGGGATCCGAGGGAGTTTGGGAAACCATCGAAGACGTTTTTGGGCGGACTTACTACTAGCTTCCGCACGCAAGTCGTGTTAACTCGAACAAGGATCGCGACGTATTTATACTCCCGTTTAATTTTGTACGGCTTTTGTTTGTTTAACCATGTAAGTTTGGGACGTGTGAGCCTTCGAAGCTACTGAACCCATTTTGGTGGGCGAATCAAATCGCGGTGAGCAAGTACACGCTTGCTTAAGTTTTTTAAGACGTGATGATTTTTCCAGATGATTTTTAGAGAAAAAGAGGATGGATGTTTTTCTAGAGAGAGAGAGAGAGAGGAAGAGGTCGCCAGAAATATAGAAGGTGAAATCTTTTTTGGAGTTTGTTTTTCAACTGTGTGTTTCAAATTTTCGAATTTTTGGGCTCCTTTAATTTTTGTAGGCTAGTAAATCGCACTCGTCTGTTTGGATTAACTCCAGGAATCAAGATGGATCCATCCGCTAAGTTTAATTTTTGATGAAATTTTTGCTTTAACCTAAGTTCGGTACTTGAGTGTTTGAAACCATTGAACATTCGACGACAAGCGGATGAATTCGATTAACACAAATTAAACATCGTTGTGGGCTTCAAATCACGGCGACTGAGTATGATTGCTAGATTTTTTTTTTTGTGGCGTAGGGATGAAACTTCATTTCCCTTTTTTTATTTTTTTATTTTGTTTGTACGAGATGAAAGGAGCAAGAACAAGCTCATTCATGGAGTCTGTCACTTTTAGACCTAAAAATCACTAAAATAAGAAAAGTGAAATAACAGATTAATGTATTCTAGCTTACAGATATGTCCCGTGAATGTTGTGGCATTCATTGAGTGGGTTCGGATTAGTTGACCGCTGTGTACAAACTATGGAGGTGGATTTGGGTTCAAGCTGGGAGGTGAGAAGGTTGAGGAAATAGTTTCTAAAAAAGATGATAATAATCTTCTTTTTCTAAAAAAGATGATAATAAACTTCTTCTTCCTTTTATTTGTTTTTCATCTGATTTCGTTCTTAGTTTCTCACTGCTATGGAAACCATAGCGGTTGCTTGCCTTCAAGCTAGTATGGGAGGTTTAAGAGAAGTAAGCGTGCCATGGGATAGCTGTAGTGAGGGGACAGTTCATATTTGGAGAGACATGATGAGATGATGAGTGTATGATACATTCTTACCTCAGTATTATTAGTGTGGGTTCTTTTATCATCCTTGTTTTTAAGTTTTCTTCTTCTTCTATCTTTAAATATAATCATACAAATTTTATTCCCATGTAAATTGGGGTAGAACTGGAGAAAAGAAGCCTCCTTTTGACTTTTATTCTTTTCTCTTTTGGACAAATTTTTTAAATCAACCTTTTTGAGAATTTAATTAGCAAAAACGACCTTTTTATAAATTAATTAGCAAAACCGACCATTTTCATCTGAAAATGGTCGATTTTGGTTTTGCGAAGTGCACGGGACTACTAGTCTCGTGCACTTCGTTTTAATAGACCCACCCCCTTTTTTGGCTCCCGTGACCGACCCCCTCTTCCCCAAAAACCCCAACTTCTTTTTTTTGGCGACTTAACACTCAAAATCCTCAATCTTTCAAACATAAAAGAGCAGGAATTTGAAATGAAAACGAAACTAATGAAACAAACAATCAAAATCCTCAATCTTTCATCAAAAGAATGCACATTGTAGATTGAACATGCGCACAAAAAAAGAGAGGCTAAGCAATGGACCTCGAAGATTGCCTCGGTGACGGCGACGACAAGAGCTTGCCAGTAGCAGGGCCATGGGGAAAGATAGACGGAGGAGCATTGCGCCGGCGGACGCTGTAGTGGCTAACGATGACACCGTCGCCGACTGGACTTGAGGGAGAGCGAGAGATTGATGATGTCGATCTTCTGAATCCTCTCGAGGTTCTCTTTGATCCTTTCCTCTCGAAGCTTCTTGTCACGCCCCGCTTCCCAAAATACCGGGGAATCGGGACGCGAGCAAGCCCGCGACGTATTAAACTGAGAAGAGATAAGTGCTAGACCCCGTCTTCTCAATCTAATACGCTAAGCGTCAAGAAATACAAACGAAGGCACAGGTCCCCAATCACAGTAATGAGAATATAATAAACAACTCAGAACCAAAAGATACATATCACAACTGAAATGATCATCCAGACATAATATTCGGGCCAAACATGCCCTTATACAAACTATCTGAATGAAATACTGGAGAATATAAAAAAAAATGATCAAGCGGAAAAGGAAATGCTACGAAAATAAACTGAAAGGAATAACTGAGCTTCAACTCTTCTTCTGCTTCGTCTACAAGACACTCCTGCTGAGAATACTCGGCTCTGGTGCATCTCCAAGCTGAACATGTTCTTCTTCTAAGTCTGACGTACACCAGAGAAAACAGGTGTATGTCAGGGTGCATTGCACACGGCAAGACCCCACAAAAGAAAAGAACGACGAAAACCCAAGCGGAAAATGATACGATAATTAAAACGGCAAAAGAACGTGCAACTAGAAATCCAACAAAATCAATCAAATAACAAGTCGATCATGCAACTAGCGTTCAGAACAATCATCCAACTAACAAGGTCATACAACTAGATGGAATTAATACTTAAAAATCCACAACAAGAGACGTAGTACGTTGAGCGAAATAATCCAAACAATGAAACCCTCATGTACATACCATATGTCTCAAATTATAGATAATTAAATATTAATCCCGATCTATGTATGAAATGAAATACAACCGGCCTACATCTCACAAGAAGTCATACCTAGCCAAGAAACGAGGTCATGTAACTAGCCATCCTATAACAGGTCACTGGTCCACATCTCACACAGAGTTAACGCTCATATTACCGGATAACTGACTGTTCACAAATCCTCTGCGCGCATCCAATACCGCTACACGAATCGGTCAGAGGACTACACGTAATCCGATCGCGGCCTGGTCCGAACTCAGACAAAGCTCAGGTGACGAAACAAGTCACGGACTAAAGTGACTACACGAATTCACTTTAGACCAACAAACCAACCCCAGTGACTACACGAATTCACCGGCGCGGGCTGGAAGATACATCAACAGTCATATCCAAGCACATGAACATTAACTTCCTCATCCCAACTCTTCTTGTTTTTCTAAATCAATCATAATCCTCATTGAAACCCGGGTTCACCACCTAAATTCAGTCAACACCCACACATGTCACTAAGTCTGTTCATGACGCACGAGACCACTAAGTCATGAACTACTAAAGGTTCTCACAACAACCAGAAACAACGAATACGAATGATCATGTACGATAATATCAAGGCATATCACATAATTAAGAATCAAAAATCATAAAATTGTTCTAAAATAATCTTATGAAATAATAAATTTATTTACTTAAAATAATTCCTTACAAAATGAGTTCTTTCAAAATAATCCCTTTTTCAAAATAAGTTATTTTCTCATTACAATAATTCTAAAATTAATCTTTTAAAATAATAAATTCATAAATTCAAAAATAAGATAAATTCTCATTAATTCACAATATTCTATTTTCCTAAATAATTTCTTTTTAAAAATATTTATCATTCTAAAATGTTTTCTTCCACAAGATAATTTCTAAAAATTATTATAATTATTTCAAAATGATTCTTTTTCCAAGATAATTTCTTTTAAATTATTATAATTTTCCTAAAATGATTTCGTTCTCAAATACACAATATTCTATTTTCCTAAATAATTTCTTTTTAAAAATATTTATCATTCTAAAATGTTTTCTTCCACAAGATAATTTCTAAAAATTATTATAATTATTTCAAAATGATTCTTTTTCCAAGATAATTCCTTTTAAATTATTATAATTTTCCTAAAATGATTTCATTCTCTAATAAATTCTTTTTAATTGATATAATTATCCAAAAATAATTCTGCTGCCGAAATAAATTCTTTTAATTCATTATAATTATTCTGATAATGCTATTTATCATAATATTGTGATTTACTTAATATTATTCACCAAACAATCCCACGCAGATAACTATATCACAAACTAAAATATGCAAAAATTCATAACTTCATCAACAAGCCCACGCAGATAATGTGACTTGGAGAAGGCGGGTGGCGGAGGCAGTTGGTGCGGCTTGGGTTTAGAGGGAGGGAGGGAGAGAACTGGAAGAAAGTGAGAGAGATGAGATTTTGTAGAGAGAGAAAGAGGGCTCGTGAGTTTGATTGAAAAGAGAGAGAGAGTACGGAGAGAGATGGTGATGAGTTAAAATAATTGAAGAAAGAGAGTGAGAGAGTGATTCTTTTGAGAAGGGTGGGGGAAACACGAGGTGGGCGAGAGTGCGGAATTTAGGGAGTGAATTGGGGAAGTGGGGTAGGGGGAAGAGAGAGATACAGAATGAAATATCGGTGATAGGAAAACACAGGGAAAAATACCCCTTTAAATAATTTAAAAATATCATAAAATTTATTCAAATAAATATTGAAAATTTATGGCCAAAATAATAATAACAATAACAATGAATAATTAAATATTAATTCAAAAAGTTTCACCGAAACAATTAAATTTATAATTAGCAAAACCATTAAAATAATATAATACCGTATTTTTTAATCATAGAAATTTCTAGAGAATTTATGAAAAATACAAATATTATTTTAGAAAAATAATATTTAATATTTAAATACCAGAAAAATTATTTAAACCAGTATTGAAAATTTA